TTTGTAATTGAAACATATCAATGTAGATTGTATAATTAGATTAAATTGTGTCATATTTTGATATAAACTTTCAAAACTAAAACTGCAAATACGTTGATAAATAAAATTAAAATATAACAAATTGCAATTGCAACTGCAGGAGATATTTTGTCTGGTGATGGACGTGGCAGCGTTTCAGAAATAATAGAAGCATTAATCCGTTTATGTCTGCTCGTGTTGCGGAATAACAAGAAACTACCGGAACCGTTCCAATATTAAAAAATTCCGCAGCACGAGCACGCGGCAGCAGGAAATAAAAACACAGTTACGAGAATGGAACGAAACAATTACGGTTTAAACGCAATAAGCATTATACTGTGAGGCAACATACATTCAACTCTAAGTAGAAAAAAAGTAGCAAAACACACACGCAGCGAGCGAAAAATTGCGCACACATCAGAAAGCACGGTGTAATTGCTTTCGGATTTATAGAACGTGCAGGAAATAAGTTGTGTTTCCTGCAAAACACTGTAGCAGATTGTATCTATTACATAATTTGTTCTGAAAACGTTATCAATTCATAGATATTGATTACCAATTACATGGTATATCTTTAAGAATTGTAAATCTAATTATGAAACACAATGTAAATATTAATATTTAAATACAATCTTCCATTTGTTTCAGACTTTGTTTTATGCTGTAAAGGAATAAAGTTTATAGCATAAAGCATCAACTGCGTAATATGGTTTTGTAATTAGTAATTTTATTGACGAGTAATTGCGTAGCATTTAATAGAGTTATTAGCGGACGAAATCATAATTGGAATACGCTTTGTTGTCGAAGCCTTTGAAAGTTTGCCTTCTCGCATCGCCGTAGAATTAATGGCTTTCTCATGATGATAAAGATCATAGGTACTCAATTATTTATTCCCCGATACACGTAACAGCGAATAATCATATTTATAGTCTTCATTGATTCTTTACATTTTTTTGCACCTTTTCTTTCTTTGATTAATCATTTATTTATATGTTGCAATTCACTTAATATTGAGAATTTTCAAGTAGTTTCAGGATATAAATTGGTGGTATTCCCGCAAGATCAAGCTTTATAAATAAATTACTTGAAACGATCCACCTTCGAGCGACGACCTTTTTACTGCTACAGTAAATTGACTTAGTCGAATAACTACTAGAAAAGAACGTTTAAACTTCACTGCAACTCGGGCAGTCCAATATACTTATTTAGTATTGAATATGGCTTCAATTAAATAAAAGCTGGAAAACTTTGGAAATTGAATCGATTCTGGATTATTTGGATTTAATACGCAATTGTTGATGATACTACAATTCTTTAATCTTATGTGAATCTTTTTATAAATTTTGCAAGTGGTAAACTGGAGGAAATCGTTGCAAGTCACGTTCGCTATGCAAAAGAGTTCCCTTTAACCAATTACCTTCAACCCGGAAAAAACACGTATATTTGAAGAGGAATAACTTGAGAATACTAAAATTAAATGAATTAAAATATTATGCAATAAAAACAACTATTAAATTGAAAATTTAGCATCGTTAGAGATGATAAATAAAAAAAAAAACTATAAACTTGAAGAGAAAATCGATTCATGTTTGCGAAGTTGTCCAAAAGAAGTGCTCATTCCGTTTAGCCCTAATGCGGTGATCAATTGAGTGTGTGAGAAATCGCGCAGCAATAAATTTCGTATTTAATTGCCGGAATGTAATAGCCCTAATATATTTTGAGCAAAATACAGAAAGGGGAGAGATGTACCAAAAAAAAAGAATGTAACGAAAAAAAGAACAGGGAGAAATAAAACGTGGATGATTTTATAGTGACTTTAGAATTGCAAATGCAATAACACGAGTCGAGCCCAGGGCTGAACTAGTTTATGCCTTACTTAAGGATGGAATAACCCGTGTACAGTGTGTGTGTTATCTGTCCCCGAGCTCAGAGAGAAAATTTAACTCTGCTCCAGAGGGGAAAGCAGCCCTCTTTAATATACGCTGTATTTATTTTTATGTCACACTTCCGAGGACTGGTATAATTTTATTTTAATATCGTTCGTGCATTTAACTCTTTCCCTTCGGCAAAGAGGATGACCGCGGTTCGCTTCACCCCGGGGGCGGTTTGTGCTGATTAACTATTCATCGTGCTCCGGCCTCCATCTCTGAACAATGTTTCCAGTCAAACGGCTATGTTAATTAACGGAATATTAATATTTATGGATAAATGACATTATGCGCATATATCAATGATATTTCCAACGTTCACACACACTCCCATTCACACATCAACGCGATTAAACTCAATAGGGCTTTTAATTAACTGAATACAAATTCGATAATTCCGCTGATGAACAAATAGCCGTGGATTACAATACTATATGCTTTTTCGGCTGCGTTTCGATTGGGCAAACTCTTGATGTTCATCGAATTTCGCTTCCAGCAAAAAGGATTTATTACAACCAAAAGGGAAGTTATCTTCTATCCAGAAATGTCGCTCCAAGCAAAACGATTTATTACATTGAGTTATATACCTAAGACTCTTTTACTAGCAATGATCATGCATACATCATGTGCAGAATTTATTCTAATTCAATAACTTGAGCATTATATAATTATACATAAAAATAAAAAAACCTTTTAATTAAGCAGTTGAAATCAGGTTAAACTTGAAATCAAATTTAACTTAAATATTAAACTATAGAGATTACAATAAGTACATTTGGTTCTCTTTTTATGCGGTAGATACGTTCCACAGGAAAACGCATAAAAATAAATCGCACAAAAAAGGGCTAGACGCACGTATAAAAATAAAGGATACGTTCCATAATTTTTTAAAACCGCATAAAACTAAATCAATGAGTTACTGTATACCGAAAATCGCATAAAAAAGGATTTATTAAATTTCAGAAAAATAATTAGTTTTTCTATATTCTTTCTGAAATGTTTATTCGTAATTTTATAAATACGTTAACAATCATAGACAAGTTTATTAAATTTCAGAAAAATATAATCTTAACATATTCCTTCTAAATTTATACGGAAAAATTAACAATTAATCTTCATATTTTCTTAGAAACGTTCTAATAAGTCNNTAAATTTATACGAAAATTTTACAAAAAAAAATTTTTATGAAAGTTAATCTTTCTTCACATTTTTTTCTTTAGAATTATATGAGTTATATGAGAGTGTTCGGCATAATTTGCGAACTGGTTCGAAATCACTTTCATCACTAGAAGAGATAGTCAGCATATCAGATCTATGTCCTGAAGATAATGATTCTTCACAAGTAAATTACTTCTGTTGATTTTTTCCCTTTGACAATATAATCAGTGATTAAACTTTGCGATGCTTTGCTATTTTTTTTGTACAATTCCTGATATCCAGAAATGCAATTCTGAAGCTCGCGTTGATTCTTTGACAATATAATCAGTGATTAAACTTTGCGATGGCTTTGCTATTTTTTTTGTACAATTCCTGATATCCAGAAATGCAATTCTGAAGCTCGCGTTGAAACTTGAATGCTCGTTCAGAATCATCATCTTTTTCGATGAAATGGTTTGCCAATTTGTGTCAAAACGTGTCAAAATGGCCTAAAATAGTCATTTAAAAAAGTTCTTCTTGAAATAAAAACCGCATAACTTCAAAACCGCATAAAAAGAGGACCGAGTGTATTTAATATAAATATTAAAGGCTGTCTGTAGTTTTTGTAGTTTTATGTCGATTTTTCAGCTTTGTAAAACCAGTATCTTCAAGTTTTGTTTAATTACTCAAAAACTAGTGAATGTGGTTTAAATATTTAATATGGATATTGAAGAATGTGGTCTTTTGTAAATATTAAGAAGTTTCTTGTAACCAGATGTTAAAATTGAAGAAATATGTTTGAGCTTGTATATTTATGGATGAAATATCATGTATATTTTGAATAGTGTTTTTTTTGTGTGGATTGATATTGAAATATGTTTATGTGAGTTATGCATGTTTTGGGTGTGCAATAAACATGACCCTTAAACTTTTGTCGACGCGTCTATTTATGTTGAGCAAAATCTGATATGAGGATCGTTTAGAAAACATATTAAGTACACAAATCTCGGATCTAGAGGGATGGAAGAGTGGTAGGAAAAAAAAGGGACGAAAAGTGTGTGTGTGATACGAGAAGTTCTGGAGTGGCAATAAAAGGGGTCGCTACATCGACTGTTAATAGAAAGTTTGTTGGTGCTGGGGGGGACTTGGAAAAGGGCTTCGAGAGCGTTGATTTAATGTCGTTTCCATGCTGTGTTTAGAACAGGAAATACTTGCCTTCAAACGGTCCCTGGCGTTCAGCCCTAACTGAGTATAATGACTCTGCAGATAGTCCAGATTGTATTTGATCTCCTGCAGGAAGGAGATCGCCTCTTCACGGCTCAACTGTTTTCGGTCATGAAACAAACGGAAGAACAGAAAAGATTATTAGAGCTTCGAGTAGAGGATTTATACCTCGCGAACATCACGAGTTTCGGAAACTTTCCTACGTACACACCATCCATCCATCCACTCGAGCATTTATGCAGCGCTACAACCATCACATAACTTATCTCCACTCAATAAGCCCTGCAGGCAGCAAGCAGAAGGCATTAAATAAATCAAAGTGAATATAATACTTCGCTTGCAAAAGCATACAAAACACTTAATGTTTCCATCCACCGAAAAGCCCTTTTTGCCCGGCGCGCGCTCTTCGGCACAACGTGCATCAATTTATTCTGCACCTTATCAACCGGCAAAAACTGGTTGTTCTACAACGGCTTCTTGCCCGATTTTCCTCTAATGACTTGAGGGAGGACAACCCCACGACCAGCAGCAGAAAGCGAGGAAGGAAATCCCCTTTAATTGGTTGCCCTTTTACTCTCTGTCTCTTTCTCCCTCACTCTATCTATATATAAAGACCCTCTTCTTCTCAAACACAAATAAAATTAGCGTAAATATTTTTAATTGGATAGAGTCTCGAGCGCCATTTAATACAAAAACAATTGTATATATACGACTTCTTTAGAAATAATGTATCTCGTATTCCAAATCCAATTGCTTGTTACAAGTATTGATTTAAATGGATTTGTATCATTAATACTGAAGGATTTGTATGTAACCCTTGAAGTATAAAATTTAAAAAATAATTGTGTATTGTATTTTAGCTTATCTCAATACTTTTTAATTAGTTGTTAAAGTTTATATTTTGTAATGTAAAGTAGATTTATAATATAAGTGAGTACAAAAAATGGAGTGCAATCATATCGAGCTTGAAAGTTATGAAAATAAATTGCTTTTGAAATAAATTATATACATTTGAGATATTTACCAAGAATATGTACTGTGTTTCAAATCCTTGACAAATATATCATTTAATAATAACTAAATTTATATTTTCATTTTCTATATGTATGCTAAATCCAATTGATTGTGTTTCAGTAACAAAAAACCTTTACGCAAATAGTGCACTTCGCGAGGCACTTTCTTCGAGTTTCCTGTACAAAAGGAAGACATCTTCCACATATATAACAGAAAAGTTGCAAAGAATGTGGGTCGCGCGAAATGCGACAAAAATAATAATAATCGGAATGAGGACTTGTCGCGATTGAAAGAGGATTCTAAATTTAGAGTGTAAGGAGCTTTTGAAGCGCAGGAGCTCTCTTATTTGGGTCAGATCCTGCGGAAAGTATAGAAATACGCGCGAATCTCGACCGTTCGTCACGAAATCCTTTTGTTCTTCGCCGTATTTCTGTCGCTGAAAGACGTCGTAATGAAGCCATAAAACAAAACAAAACAAAAAAACGCACACAGTAAAATAAAAATGAAGAGAATACTGTGCGTGGTATTTAATTTTTTTTGTGGTTCGTTTTTTGGGGGAAACGAAAGTGACACTCGCATAAATACGCAGCAGCACGAGAAATGTTAATTGCTCGGAGCGCGAAGGACGAAAAATGAGAGAAGAACAAATAAAAAAAAATGGGAGCCGTTTCGCAGCCGGTTTAACACGCAAATCCAGTTTACGTAATAATATACAGGCGATGTTAAATGTAATTCATTATTTTTTTTTTACGTTTTCGTTACATCATATTGTATATATGTATGCGTGTGAGTTACGTAATGTTGCTGGTGTTTTCGGTAGGGTGCAAACAGTAAATGTCAACGTGTGCGCGAAATTCGCTCGTTGCGAAACAATTGAATGCTGTAATTTAATTAAAAGCCGAGCCGAACCATACAGAGCGCATTATTGACACGTTACGTCAACATTTAATAAATAAATTAGCGTCTACTCCCCCATTTTATTGAACGACCCACATCCACGAATTCCCATTATCATTAGGATGTGATGTTATAGTTGTACTTACGATTCCTTCTTGGAGGAATTCCTCGATGGCCATGGTGACGCCCTTCTCGTCCCCAGTCCAGAAGACGTACTCTGCCATATCCAATGGAGAGTATTGTGTCCCGGCGTAAGCTCCAATCTTCTCGAACTGCTGTAAAAAGAAAACAAAGAACAAATGGATGATGATGTTAGGATGAAGAGGAATAAACAAGCGTCTCCGGTGAAGGGAGAAGAGAATTAGTTTAAATCGAGATGGGCTGCAAAGATTGGTAGAAGTGGTGGTGGTAGTAGTAAAAGGAAAACTTTACTAAGTAGATCGCATCGGGGCGATAGAAGAGTTAATTAAAAGTAAAGTCAGCTGTTCGGGCTTTAAAAGCTCGGTGATCCTAATCTCTCGTCTCCGTTTCTTTTCGTTAACTATTTGCCGTTTTCATTACATATATATATTTATATATCTTTCTCACTCTCTCGTTCTTAGCTTAATTGTACACAACAAGTATTTTCAACGCAAACACGAACAATTGGACACGTTGTTTGCATGAGCTTGCCTATCCTCGACATCGCCCGAAAAGCTAATTTGGCCCTTTGTTATCGTAACTTCTTAACAATGACTCCGATACTAATCTTCACCTCGTACATTATTAACGTGAATTGTT